CGTTTTTATACTTGAAACACTCGGGTCAGAAGTCTAATGAGAAAGATATTGGTATTTGAAATTTTCAATTTTTTAATCGTGAGCAATTTGAATTTGGCTTTATAAAATTACAAAATTCTTCCACGCGATTACAGTACGCGTAAAAACAAAGCGGGGGGGTTCACGACTTTATATAAAAAACGAAGAGAAATTAAAAATATCGCTTTATAAGTAATTGTGGTTAGGCTTCACATGCTGATATTAAACTAAGGTTAAAGTTAAGCGACGCTTGGTGAGACCCAGGTGAGAGATGAATTTTTCTAAATTTTACTTCCAATCGAAAGCAAAATGTAGAAGCCAGGAATAGAAATTGGCTGATTTACTTACCGGTGTGTATGTAGGTGTGCTTCTTCATGTCGCTCTTTTGGTGGAATCGCTTGCCGCAGAATTGGCAAGGATACGGTCTCGTGTCCGAGTGGATTAGAAGGTGAGTGCTGAGCGTGCTGGATCTCTTGAAGGCTTTACCGCATTGCTTGCACTCGAACACTTTCTCTGCGGAATGCACAGCCCTGTGCTGCGTGAGACTGATTTCATGGCCGAAGGTTTTGTTGCACAACTCGCAGGCGAATGGCCGTTTACCGTTGTGCGACCGCCTCGCGTGAACCTACGCAAATCAATACCCGGTCAGCTATTTTAAGATAATCCGACCAACAAAATTTAAAACAGCCTGCGGCGAAACGGACGGACGTCTCATAGATAAAAAGAGTTACGTGCGTCAAACTTGCAATTGTTCTTTCGTGAGCACGTGCGAGACAAGGATATTATTCTAACGCGGATGTAACAGTAACAGGACGTTATTTCGATTGAAATAATTGCAGCAGAAAAGTGAATAATCGCGACGATAAAGCTGTCGGGATGAACGCGGATGAGAGCGGCAGCAAATCAGAAATGAATCAAAACAACTAAGTCTGGAAAAAAAAGTATGCGTCGACCGCGCACATGTACCTCGAGCCCATGCGGCGTGCTGAACATCTTGTCGCACTTTACGCAGCTGTAGACGTCGCCGAGCGGATGAGGATGGTGCAGCCCGTGGGCCGTGTGGGTCGAGTGTAGCCCCGGGTGAGCTGGATGAACGCCGCGCAGCAGCGGGTGTAAGTGCGGCGGCAGAAGATGATGCGGCAGTAGCTGGGGGTGCAGGTACGAGAGAGGATGATGCGGATGGGGCGGCAGGAGGCCGCCCTGAAGGTGCAGCGGCGGATACAAGATCGACGAGCCGGGCGGCGGATGGGCGCCCATGGAAGCGGACTCTCGATGCGGGGACGCGTTCTGCAGGTGCGCGGAGGGCGGATCCGGCCTGAGGAGCGCGGACACGCTGAAGCTGTCGCCGGACTTCTTCGGCGGGTGCGATATCGGCGACGTCGCGACGCTCACCGGTGACGGCGACGGCGTCGACGACGACCGCGGCGGACTCGAGGTACCGTCGTGATCGTCCTCGTCACCGACCTCCTCGACGTCTACGTCGACCTCCTCCTCGCCGACGTCGACGTCCACCTCGGCGTCCCGGCGCTCGGGCGGAGGGGAATCCGGGCAAGGGGATTGAGACGGCGAGGGACTCCTCGTCGCCGGTGAACCCACCAGACGACCAACTCCGAAAGATAGTCGTTCTGCAACATACCGTTCAATGACATTATAATATTACGTTGAATCATCCCTTGAATTGGTGAATGATCGGTCTGCCTGATTAGTCAATCAGGCAGACTTTTTATCGCGAGTAAAGAAATTGCATCAAGTTGAACCGCGCGCAAAGAAATCTGCGTTCGTCTTGCATGGATTTTGCACCAGCAAGCAGATAGACATTTCGTAATCGATGAACCAGAGTTTATATACCAGTCACGAGAGCAAGATGGCCAATGATTGGGCGAACGGTAGCTACGTCACGTATGAGGTGCGCGTAGGACGCTAGGTGCAGAGGATTCCGAAGAAGGAGGGCCACGGATAAATACAGTTTCTTCTGGCGGAAGGACCCGGCCGGAATGAGATTTGAGTCACGTACTGGGCCCTTTTTTTTCCCTAGCTGGCGCGAGGGTGTTTAAGGGACGGACGGAGCACGAGAGGTCGTGGCAGGGTCTCATGTTGCGCTAACGAGGTATCGCGAGGAGAGAGAACCGAACGGCGAGGTGCCGAGAGCGAAATGTACTTCCGCGACGTTTCGTGTGAAGCAGTGTCCCTTAATGAAATCCCTCGCGCACCCTTTCGGAATATTTCGCCCGTCGCAGCGCCATAAGTCGTGATTAACTCCTGTGCGACAACACGAAAAGGAGTTACATGTGATACGACGGTAGAAAATGTTTTGTGCCCAACAGGAATTTCAATATTCTAACTGCACCTTCGCGTTGTAACATACAATAATTGTAGGACAGAATAACGCACGGCAATAGATAGAAAAATCTATTATTACGCGTTTATGTCCCGTTGTTAATGTTTAATGTGATTATTTACTAGATAATATGTCACGCAATTACGGCTCTAATGTCCCATCGCCGGTTAATATGTAACGAGGAGATTAAACTTTTATCATTATTGAAATATTAAATTAATATTTTCACGATGACAGTTGCAAATTGCATCGGATCGCAATTTCGGTATCGCTTGTCAATCGGAATTTACTGTATCCTCTGATTATCAAATCGATGATGCCCGACGCAGCTTTGATTTGTACGTCGCGTCGTTTTATCTGTCGATTGGCGCAAACGAAATACGATTCAATCGTGAATTTTGATGTATCTGCTCGATTAAACGTGCAAAATGTATTTATTTCGTTATCATCATTTAGCGAGTATTTTCGGAGAAATCTAGATTTGATTTCAAGATATGATTAACGCGGAGTGTTGGGCAATTCATTTATTGTATTATTTTGCGTAATCATTTATGCATATATTCCAAATATCCTCGGAAAGTATCATTGTTCGCGCTGTAAATTATAAACGGATATGATTGATACTAATCAGTTTCTAACGGTTATGCAGATCTCGCGGTAACAAAATTATGTAAATAATTTAAAGTATATTCTCTAAAACTGATGAGAGGCGAAATTCTGCTTGCGAAATCCTCGCACCAAGCAGACAAGGGCGATGCAAACATTCTAACGTTTAATCGTTACAATTTGAGCTGTGTCCAGGAAGCTACGCGCGGCTTGTCTAATTAATCAGAGCTCGATTCCACTGTCGTGATTTACGGCATCGGATGAATCGGAAATCGGGCACGCGCGTGCACCGCGTCTCGCCACGCGCGAAAGGACGGGCCTAGAATCTATCTTACGGCCCCTCGCTCGATGCCCCGGCAATTTCGGCCTCGCACCACTCATATTGCGCCTCTCGCGCGCACACCCGGTATATTATATTTATAATCCGTGCGCGCGACACGCGGTCACGTGCCGGCCTGTATGATGCACCGCGGTGTCGGCTAATCGCATTTAAAGCTCTCCGCGAGCCCCGTCGTTGGGGTCGATTATTATCATGTCTCCTGGTGGCTTTGCAATCGAATCAAAATACGACTCGAGCCAGAGTGGCCTAATGTAATGAGAAACGCGCCTCGCGCCTACGGGGATCTGTCCGAGGAGACAGATAGGCACTTTATTGCATCCGGTCAAAAGCACAAAGGAAAACGCAAAGAGGAGCTAAATGAAATTGCTAATGTTACATCCAAATTTTTTCCCCTTGCACCTACGATGACGCTTTCGAAGCGACACGTTATCCTAAATTTGTACATTTGCACGATTGCTCGTTTATTATTTTATTAACACGACTGAACTGATGAAATTAAAAGCTTGGCCATTTAAAAAATCAACTTGACCGCTGGATTACATACTAAAGTGGGCTGATAAATTTCAGACGCATGTTAGCGGGAAACATTTTTGCAATTGCATAATTATAACATTTTCAGTGATGCACTGCGGGGGAATTTGATCCAATGGAGATAACTTGATATCGCGGTTCACACTAAATGTGAATACTCCGGGCAAGGGTCCATCGGGCGCTCGAATTTTCTGACAATTGAGAAAACAGTTCTGTCACTTATTGTCAGGCAAATAGAAGAAGGGCGAGACAAGAATGAGAGTAAAAAGAAGGAGGAATTTCGGACAGATGTGTCCCGCGGCGTGATAGCAGGAACTGCTTACGCAAATGCTGCGTCTGGGTCGACTGGAATGCGCTAAAAACTGACGTTGCAACGAAAGAAAAACGGTTGGCGACCGTCCGGCAGATGGGTTTAACGTTGGTCCGGGTTTGACAGGATCTGCGCGAGCTTACGCACACGTGCATCTGACGCCGCATCGAGATGCGTGTCACGTGGCCTGCTAGTACAGCTTCCAGCTTCCTCCTCTCCCCCCCTCGCCCCGATATGCAGTGAATGAAACTTCTTGAATCGACTTCGAGATCGTTTTTGCCACGACGGTTCCGCCACTGATGCGCATCCGCCATATTCGCGTAAAGTGCTCGGAGTTGCTTACGGGACGAGCGAGACGAAGTTTCCGGAGTACCGTACGAGCCCGATAGCGAGCGAGCCAAAGTAAGAACTTGTCAACTTGTTCGTTAAATATTTCGTTACTCGTGCCATCGTACCGAAAATGAAATGATTCCGCTACCGTTACGAAATAAGATGTTTGTGAGAAAAATTAAAACTCAATTGCTGAATCTCCAAATATATTTCCGAGTGAAATTTTAGATGCAAATAAGGAGGGGGTTGTGTTATTAAAAAAAACATTTTCAATTCGCACATGTTTATGAATAAACAAGGGAAAAATTTTTTTTAACTCGACCAGACTGGCTAAAAAGTGATCTTAATAAATGTTAGAAGTTGACATTGTTTTAGAAACACTTTCCCTCTGTTCAATTACCACTGGCGACAATGAGCTTCGCTTGTTTTTATGAATAAAATAGGCTTCGATCTATCATCTCTTTAGTCTAAATCAGTTGGAATAAAAATTCTCCCTCCCGACTTGTTTTCACGAGTACACCCCGATATTGCTTCTTGTGACAGAATTAACTTTAAATAGCCACTGACAGCCGGATGAAAAATCCGCTTTTGAAAACCCACATGGTCGTGTCACTCGGCTCTATTGACGCCGCCTCGCGCGGCAAAGGTCGCGCGTATTCCTTTCCATGAACCGACATCGCGGAAGGGGTTTGAAGTGTATAACGGTTATAATAGCGGCAGATCGCTACGCAGTAAACGACTGACGGACGACAGAAGATTAAAGTTGGCCGTTAACTCGATCTAATTGTCCCCCCCGGCTTGGCCTTCCTTTATTAATCCACGTCCGCAACCATTTTCAGTATCGTCATCCCCTTGTCACGAGTCCTCTTATCGATTCGCCGTAAGAAATGTGTGTGTGTGCAATGAAATTGTCGCGAAAATTATATCAAGGACGCAAATCAAAATTTTATTTTCCGTATACACGGAAATGTCTATAAATCCTGAAATTGTTTTCTCGAGATGAACTGTTGTATCTATGGTGCAAAATTATTTGCAAAACTGGAAAATTATCTTTGTTATCGATACAACGCCATTTCAAAATCAGTAATTTTTAAGTCTTGGAAGGAAACAAGTAATATTGACGTGCTCGTAAAAGGGTTTCACAAACGTTAGTTAATTGTTAACCAGAGATTGATTTAGTCGACTGCCTATCTGTTCTTTATATTATTATCTAAGAAGAGACAGAGAATCGATTAACCTCCCCAGCAGTTAACCGAAGTCTGTGAAACCGGCCCTTAATGTTGAACTACTTGTTTACTGCAAATTATCGCGACTCTTGAGAATTTTGCGAACGCAATATTGTAACAATAACAGATCGCAGCGTGTTTCCGCTTATCTTAAAATTCTATGACTTTCTTAAAAGTCTTCAGCATCTTCTACAATACAGATAGCAGTAATAGTCAAATAATAAATAATAATATGATATTGCTCAACCAGCGCCATGTTTGCGCGACGCAAATCTTGGCGGAGCAGCGGCGACGTAAACGCGACGATAAAAGTAATGCGGTTGATCTTATCACGTCTGAGAATGAACGGGGGGGGGGGGGGCAGATGAATGGCCACGTGCGCGCGCGCGCGCGTAAGAGAGAGAGAGAGAAAAGTAGGAAGAGAATATGCACGGGCGTTTAACATGACAAGATGTTACTAATTCAGAGTAGGTACAAGTACAAAGGAGCCGACGGACCGAATCCCTGTGCCCGCGCCTCTAATCCGCTCCAATTGGGCCGGCAGGAGCTAAGAAAGGCCCATGTCCGTGCGTGGTATGACGCGTGCTACCATTTATCCCAATCGTCGACGACGACCGGTCGTTCTTAATGATCGGCAAATAAAAACCTGCCGTCATCCGGGCTGGGGAGGAAGCCGTCATCACGAGGCGAAAGGTCGGCGCTACGCTCGCCCGTCTACACCTTTCGACGAAAAGTAAGAAGCAACGGCAAGTCAAGCGTCGCGCGGCGACGATTGTGCCGGAAGTTTCGTAACCGCGGTTCAATCCGACGCGCCATAACGTTGCGTAATTTTGCAATTTCGAGATAAACTAGGAAGATTCCTTCGTCGATCGATATTATTAGAATAAAATCAGAATTCTTTCTGAACGTTTATTTCAAGTTTTTTTTCTTTACTTTCGGGCGAGGGGAAAGCGATATGAAATACACGATAGGGCGGAATACCCAAAATTTTGTACACAGAGAGAAAGGTTTCTTTGGATTTAGTATTCCTATTTATTTGGTTGAAATTTGTTTCATTAAGACAATATATGCTTATACGAAACATTATATGTTTTGAATAAGAATTTTGTTGTTTTATTCAAACAACCTGTATTATTTGATAGAAAAACACTATTATTTGAAGTAATATCTTTCAATGAAATAATTATATTATTTGGCCAGGCGCTTATAAAGTTTGGTGCTGCCACTAGATGGCCGCCGAACTCGTAAGTAAAATCGCGGCAGCTATGATGTATAAGCGACCGCATCAGCAGACGCAGTTTAATCATTTAAGGTCTATTTTTTATTATGGCTGAACATAGTGTACTAATTCAGTGTTTATCTTTCTTCTTTTAATGAAGGGAAAATTCTAATGTGTAGAGGGAGAAAGATGTATGCATATACATTTGTTTCACATATTTTCTATCAAACGATAATGCTGTTTGAATGAAACAATAATATCGTTTAGATTAAAGAGAATATTCCTTTCGTTTCAAACAAATCTTTTATTTGAAGTAAAGCTATTTATTATTTGAAAGGTCAAATAATCATATTTGTTGAAATAACAATTGGTTTGTTTGGACTATTCCAAAAGATAAATTTCTTTGAATCTAATAAAATTTATTAAATTCAAAGAAACCGTTCTCTCTGTGTACGTCTCTCTTTCACTGATGTTGCGTCAAGCACGGAATGTCATGAGTGTACTTCAGTTCGACAGGAAAAGATAATTTACTATCAAGGAATTTGGTAAATTGGTGATATTTGATTTGTCGATAAAATTACTGGCTTCCCATGGTGCAATCACATACCTGAGTGACTTTTCGGTAAAGGTGGTAGGTTTGTAATTTCCGTGGTGTTCCCGAAAGGTGCCCACAGTCTCGGGAACACTAAACGAACATTGCATCCTCCTAGAAATAATATATCGTCATGTTAAAATCGTTAAACGGATACACTTGAAAACATTTATTGTATTGCAATCTCAATCGGATAGTAAACGTATTGAAATTATTTGTATCAAGTGTAGTTTCCAAGAATGAAATTGGTAAATTCTCTTTTTTTTCTGTCGAGGTAAATGAAAAATATGGCAAATTGTACAAGCACCGAAGAAATATATCCGACGTTACATTTAGGTCTATTGCAAATTGATCGATTGTTGAAAGACAGTGTGCGCGAAATCCGACGGAAAAGGATAGCGACGCAAACGGCAAAACGATCGGGCATTTCTCTCGATCGTTTATGCATCGTTACCCCGGCAGCTACCAACGCTGCAATGACATCTCAAGTCCTGACAAATTTAGTATTCCTAGGTCGTAGGAAAGATCAACCCCTCGACAAGAGCGTCTTTATTAGAAAGGAGGAGAAACCCTCCTCTATTTATCAACCTTGCCTCGGCCATTACTCGCTCTCTTTCTCCCTGAAACCTGCATTCCTATCCCCGAACATCCGCCATCCATCCCGGTTGGTTTCTTTGATCGTTTCGGTGGAGGATCAAAGTTCGAAAATTTCACGCCAATTCGCCGTCCCGATGATTAATCAAACGAGTGAAAGCCTTGTCTTTCGCTTGACGCACGGAATACCAAAAGCTATGCGGTATGTCGAATCAATATTGACACGATTACAGATCACAGATCACCAATGAGTGACAAATTCGATTTTATCAACCGTGTAATTCAATTGTCATTGATAAAGTCTTGAGGCCTTAAGTTATAAATGTAGATAAAAGTGTACAAAAAATGTATTTTTGCATCTGAAGATTAGCAATTTCCGATATCGCAGCAACATAGAAACAAAGGGGTCTGCAATCACGGCAATGGGAAATTAATCGCGATCGTCAAGTTGCAGTTCGATCGGCAAACGAACACGCGGCAAACCCATGTTAGTTTCCTCACCTAGATATGATATAAAATATCAAATCCGTGCTTTACGACGACAAGTGTAATCCACAAAACCTATCTAATCAATTCAATGTATACAATGAAGCTAAATAAATCTGACCTTTCTACATCGCGATTGCGTCATTCGATATTTCAATTTTATTGTTAAATAAAACCAAAAATCTAATCAAGAATAAAGTGCATTTTATTAACAGTAATAAATGTGCATAAGATTACGAACATAAGACAAAATTCGACAGAGCTTCCTGTCTCGATGTAGAATAACAAATGTATGCGCTTTGATTGCATTTATCATGTGCATATTTTTAAACGAAGATCAAATTCATTTGAATTACGATCGTATTAAATTTACGTGATGTTAACAAAGCATGTCAAAAGTAAAACATATAATTAATAACATGTTATTGTAGTGTAAATAACAATTGGATTTAATAATTTGAGAGAAGAAAAGAATAGCTGCCAACAATGAAAATCTGGCAATAACGTATTTCTGTATTCTCAGTTGTTGTAATTATTCTCAGAAAAAAAAAGTTATTATTGTCCGATGTGATGCATCATCCCCGTAACTCTCGGTAATCACAGTAAAGCGATTGGTCAATCGATCGATACGAAGACACCGGTTGTTCGGCTGTACCGGGAATTGACAAAAAAAAAACGTGCGAGAAATCTATAATCCGGGCCATATAAAGGACCGACTGGGATAATCTCAGATAGCACGAAGAGATTAGACACTCCGCGCCGCAAAAGCTGTCTCATTCTCGCCAGGATTATCAGAAGTAAATCATATTTTCCTATATAGCGAGCACACCGCACGCTCGAGATAAGACGGCCCGGTGTACACACGTCGATATGCGTGTATACACAATACAGGTAACGTGTGTTAGCCAGCGAGAATCGCGGCGATATCGGGCCGTTTGCCCGCGCGAGAGTCTTATCCTGCGTAGTCCCGCACGCACATTTCGCGCTATCGGTCCGTCATAAATCTATAAAAAGGTAAAGCCAATGTGATTTGCCGTGGAAATCACCGACAAAAACAGCGGCGGCAGATCCGGAGAATTCCAAAAATCCAGAGGATCAATCTGTTAGGACCAAGACGATTGCTCAGCACCGAGAGCGTCGAGTCGCAAGATTTTTCAAAACGAGGGAAGAAGAGCGATAGATACAACATCGTGCGCATTAAATAAAAATATACCTTACACAATTGAATTCTAGAAAAATCAATTTGCACGAGAACGAAGGATTGCGATACTTGCGGGGGAAGAAGAATTAAACACGTTCGCATCGATTCATATTTAACCGCTTTCCTCGAATAATTGAGTTCTCATATTTTTCCAAGCTTCCTGTTAGAAGAAGCAAGCAACTTAAACGTCACAGGAGATATAAATACATTTCTTCCCGTTTCAATCACGAGGAAGCGTCTGTAATTCCACGACGAATGAGTAAACGTCCGCGTAGTTTTTAAGCCTTGCGCCAGACGGTGGCTCTGAGTATCTTGGCGGGTACAAGCGGCGGAAGAACAGTATCAACCCCTCGATGAGCTGCCCATCACCTGGCAATTATCGCTTAAACCGCTTAGCTCAACGCCTGTAGCTCGATTATTATTGCGTTCAGCCTGTTACCGCGATTAGTAGCGGGGTATTAGTATAGGCAGCCGTCTAATGCCAACCATCCCCTCTCACCTGTTGAACAGATCGTTGTGCACGATGACGGGCCCCCTACGCACCTGCACGCGCGTGTGCGTGCTCGTGCGTGAGCTCTACGAGCACCTCGTGCCTCGTTTGCTCCGGGGCCACGCGTGTGCGTGCCGCAAGCTCAGGTGTCGACGCGAGCTGCGAGAGCTAGCGCGTAAATGTCACGTTGCCGAGGTAATAGGCAGGTAATAGTCAGGATGATGACAGACGAGAGGTGGACAGGGGGTGAGAATCGGGGGGCGCTACGTCAGCGAGCGGCATACAGCTGGAAATGTCAAAGGCTCGGGCGCCGATATATTTCGGCTGGTTATCGAGAACGTGGGGTTCTCCTCCATGGTGAACGTGTCGGCGGTGTTTGCGGGCTTGATCGATTCGCGTGGGTGTCTCCAAATAATTTACGGCACGTAATAGTAGACGCGACAATGTAGATCTTGTCCACAAACATGCGAATATAATTGACGGAAAATAAGTACTTGATACTGAAGTTTGAAAAATTTGTAATTGCTACACATACTTGAGGAATTTACATCGAACGGATATGGCCGGTCTCTTTTTGATTGAAAACCTTTAATAATTATTATGTAATAAATAGTATTAAATTTAGATTTAAAGGTTTCTCGTGCGAATCTCAACATTTTATCCACGGCTCAAAATTAGAGAAGATTGTGTCTATTTGTGTGCAATTTTTTTACTTCTAAATGATTTTGATATCTGTACAAATATCGCATTTTATATCTTGTTGTTTTGATATTATGCGTAAAACGGCATATAAATTAATGCAAATGAAAGACTTGTCGTTTGACTTGCTTTTATTATAATAAGAATATTAAAATTGCCATAAAAATTCGCATTAAGAGTGCGTTTAAAACGATGAAAACAATATTCTGCCATTGCTGCATTGATAATTGGACCGTTCAAGGAGCCTTACCTTCATCGATGGGAATCTGCGGGTTCTCCTGAAGATTCTCGTTGTTGTTGGCCTCCGGCGGCAGCGGTTGTTGATGTACCAGCGACGAAGCCGGTTGTTTAGGCTTGACAACGCGAAACGCCGACGTCTCGGTAGCCCCTCGTCTCGAAAAGTCTAACGGACCCACCCCGACAGGCGAGTGTTGCTGCTGAACTTCCATCATCCTGGACCTCGAGTCCGTTCACCGTATTACAACTTTCCCGTCACTGCACACGACATTCGCATCTCCTTCCCAACACGATTGCAAAGTTTAAATTGCTTCAGCGATAAATAAATGTACACAAGTGTTTCCTAATCTGACCCCCAATGAAATTATCCTTTCAAGATTGTGTTGACGGACTGTCTGGTGGTGCTTTGAATCTTGGGCGACTCGTGCCTTCAGAAACGACTTTCCGACAATTGTTGAGACCGTTCGTCAGAGATGGGATTTTAAGAAAGAGATGTCTCCGTTTAAACAGCAATGTACGCAGCCCCAAGTGTGTCCGATGAAATCCTTTCTCAGGACTACCTGCTCGCGGACTTGATTCTTTGAAGAGTCGTCAACATCGATCTCGCGACAGCGCACAAGCACCTAGGGATTCTTTTGCCGGCACAGTCAAGACACTCGCAGCCGTTTGCTGATTGTAATTCGTCAACACCTAGACAGACCCCCGTGATACAGCTTCTGCCTATTTTGCGATAACGAATACGTGTCGCGCAAGAGACAGGGCCTCCGGTTGTCAGTGACACTGATTTCCGTGCAGTCCATCGGCCGGCCAGGACAGATCGGAAACGGCGGAGCACCGGCTCAAGCCCGGGGATGTGAGAGACGTTAGCTGTTAGAGCGGGTGCCTCGACGCCGACTGCTGTTAACGGGTCTGATAGTGGAGGGACTCCCATGCGATGACGGCCGCGAGAGCGACGGACGTGGAGAAGGAGAGAGACGGAGAGAGCCACACCAACGACGTATACATCGTCGGCGTTTGTACGGAGAGGGAGAACACCCACATATAGAAGTCCGGTGCACACCAAGATTTCGGTCCCGGGTCCCGCCTCCCGGGCACGCCTTCTCCGTTCCACTCCACCCACACACACACCGGGCTGCTGCCGGCGTACGTGGCGGTGCACGCACAAACCAACACGTGGACGGCCGTCGATCCATGGGGAGGAGTGGGGGCCGACGGCGCTACCGAACGCTACCGGGCGTCGTTGCTCCGGCACCGCGTGTGGGGTTGCTGATGGGGTTGCGCGCTTGTATGCGTGTGTGCTTCTGGTGTGCGCGCGCGTGGGTTCACGTCTGTGCGCGTGTGTGTCTGAACTGCACCGGCCACCGAACACGAGATACACGTTGCGCGCTACGCTCTCTCACCTCCTGGTTGCAGCATTATGTGGAACCACTCGGCCACCCTGATTCCACTCTTGACTCCACTGATTGATATTTGCGCGCTGCCCTCGCACACTTGAGCGTACATGCACGTACGCCGCTCGATGCTCGTCCTTCAACACCCATCATGATGGTGGATGCTGCTGGGCGCAGGGAATAAACTTAGAAAATTTAGGCAACAGGGCCGAAGGTGAGAGAGAAAGAGAGAAAGAGAGAGAGAGGGAGAGAGCTCCCGCTTTTATGGCCGCAAGAGTGATCTTCGATTTTTCCTAGGAGATGAGATTTCGAGGGAGATGAAATCTTCGTGGTTGGTTGAGAAGTTTCTACATCACGTCCAACGCTTTTTCAGAGGATTGTGTACTTAGATGATATCTGTTTGGGAAAATAGGTTTCGGCAAAATACTTTAGAATTTCAGAGTTTCGCCTTTCTGGACAATTAATTACACGCGTGGACTTCATACGGGGACTAATACTAATGTACAATGCGATTGCAATTAGCATTTGTAGAAAAGTGAGAGATTACAAGTGATGCTATGGATTTGAAAATGGTGCGTCTGGAAATATGAAAATTTAAGCGAGTATTCGGTTCCGACTGAAATTACCTACGACAGATTTTTCCTGTGTTAGCTCAGACCAGAATTTACTTTAATCTTAGCTTTCATAAAATCGTCGAGCGCGCTCGTATCCCCGATAGGAACGTTGAAAATCTTTTATGATACGCTCTGAAGGGATAAATCCAGCGCGATATCGGCAATAAAGTTTATCAAGCATCAAACAGTTTTAACGGTTTAATCGTCCGCCGAAACGACGACGGTGTTTTCCGAGCCGGTGTGACTTCTGTCCGATAATCCAGAACTTTGAGTGCAACGACTCTTCGCATATCCCGATAAGAAATACACGGTCCAATAGGCTTAACACATTGTTACCAGAAATATATACAGTTGTATTACCGTGTCTGTCACCTGTCTACATTTAATAACCGCGCGTACAAAGAACACACGAAACGCATGAACAAATCCTTCAGCTGCATTGATAATCGATGCATTAATTCATTGCATTTTTCCCACCCTCGCTCGTTCGATTTGATAAGAGGCGAGATTACGCGTGCATTTTTCGCTTAATTGTTTATCCTGACAACGGTTGCGAAATTATCGCAAGACATTTGCGCAACTAAATTCAGCGACTATTAAATCTATGCAAAATTGAATATATATTTTTAGTACTAATCGCTTTTAGCGGTTGTTAGAACGAGTGCTCAAGTTGCAGTTTGAAAGCATAGGATTTTAGAGCGAAAGGTAAATAAGTGTTCGCAGATCTTTTCCGAGCAGTCGGAGTATGGTTACATCCATAAATTAATATGATTCATGGCACAATTTAATTATCATGCTACATGCTCGCTCGCCTTTGCAGCGCGGTATTACGGTGAAACGAATCAGATGTGAAAGTCAAATATAACAGAATTTAACAGACATCAACTTGTTAAAGCTGCAGCCTAAGAAACAGTCACGTGTATTTGATCCACGATAATAATACGTCGACAACACGTTTAAAAAAAATTACGGCAACGTCCGCATCGCGGCGACAACTTTTACAATCAATTCCACGAAAGTGTAATGGCTAATAAAGGAGTTAACAGCGTAATCACTTAATACTTAGATTGCAAGGAATAAATTGCGATGTCACCTTCGCCGCATTTCAATACTGTTACACAATTTGCCGCGAGAACGGCGCGTGATTTCGGCAACATTCATTCCGGTCAGCAGTAATTAACAACGTCGGTGTTTTCTTGACCACATCTGGCATTTTTAATAGTACAGAAAATTTATTGCGAAAAATATTACCTCAGCCAGGGTTTGAACCTGGACTTCCCTACACTCTTGGTCCACCAGTGAGACGCAATAAATTTTCTGTATTATTAAAAATGCCAGATATGGTCAAGAAAACACTGACGTTGTTCATTCAGGTGAATTAAAAATGCCGTACGATAAATCGCAGAACTGTCCAGGTACAACTATTTCTTCCTCGCAAAACATGGCCATTTACATAAATAATCGCGAGACAAGACGAACATCGCTACACTGAAAAAAATTTCTGGTTGAATATGGACGAATCAGATAATTCCTTTAGAATTTACCAGAATTCCTTTAGGATTTACCAGAATTCCTGTAATCCTACAGAATTCCTGTAATCCTACAGAAATTCTGGTAAATTCTAAAGGAATTCTGGTAAATCCTAAAGGAATTATCTGATTCGTCCATATTCAACCAGAAATTTTTTTCAGTGTATAGACAATATATTTGTTGGATTGGATTCTTAGGGTAATGCAGTGTCTTCTTCTATTAGCACGAAAACTCTCTCGCCGAGGTGCATATAACTAAGAAAACTCTCAACTAAGTTTGTCCGAGAAGATGATACCCCGTGTATCTCTCGGCGGATCATTCTCCGCGCGTACGCTGGGAAATCGAGACGCGGCGGTTCAACGTGGTTCAGTTCCGCGACTGAATGCGCAAAGTATAGCCGGCTGTAACACCGAGAGTGTCGTCGTCATCATCGTCGTCGTCACCGTCCTCGTCGTCGTCGTCGTCGTCGTCGTCGTCGGGGGCGTAAGTATCCACGAGCATGACGCGAAACGAGATGTTGGACGTCAGGCGAGACCGACAAACCGCATCAATCATACTCACTCACTCGCTCGCTCGCATCGTCGTACGTTCTCCCTGGAGCACCGACGATGTCCCAGGGCCGCTCCATCTTCGGAAGAAAATTGCTTACTCTCATACGAATACGGTTCCCCGCAGCGACGCGGGCGTGCGAAAAGCTGTACGACATCCCCGGCCTGCGGAAAAAAAAGAGAAAACGAAAGAAAAAAGACGACGGGCGATGGAAGCAGGAGGATACAAGAATAAGAGCGTGGCGGTGAAATTACGAGGTCATGAAGATGAAATCGACTGAATGTTCTTTACCTCGTTTCATCGCGTAATCGAGAAAATATTTCAGTAACAGGCAATCACTGAGTCGTCCATTTTTTGTTTATTAAACACGATTATTTATTAAGAAGATTTATCAAGAGGTTACACGCTCGCAAATAGTAGTACCTGAAGAATTTATGCGCATGTTTCTTAATATAGATTGTTCCGACAATTGTAATGAAGAAAAACGTCACAACATGTAGTGAAAATGCATATTGATTTAATCAGGAGCTAATTTGAAAATGACGAAACGTGTAATCAGCTCAGGTATATTGAATTTCCAAGAGAAGATATTTAAAAAAACAAACAGAAATATTTTGTTGGTTGAAGATATTTCGTTGGTTCTCGGCGACCCTCGATTTACAGCTTTATCGGCGCCAACCCAAATCTGTTCGTACAAATTCGTTAAGTTAAAGAAATTCTAATAATTTATTGCGCGCCGAAGATAAGCTCACGCGATACTATAAAAATTATGTAACGATCTAATATATTGAAAGTAATTTAAATACAAGTCGCAAAGTAGCTGTTTTAGCAATGTGACATTTTAAATATCAACATTGGACATATTTAGTTTATATTGTTGCATTTTTATATGATCGCATTTTATGGTGTAAAAGCGTCTCCAATATTAGGCAACAACAACGGTTTTCGCAAGGGGGGGGGGGGGAAGAAATTGCGGCGATACTTTTTCGCTCGATCGTAATTAACTTGCAGTGGCTTCGTTCGCCGTGAGAAATCACCAGTATTCTGATTGGGAGGCGAGATATGACATCATTTCGCCGATCTGTATTTAATCGTGGGTCGATTCCACGTGTTATTGCAACGAACGTGTATACGAGCCCACGTGTATACGAGCCCCGGCATTACCTTGGCAAACTAGTTCAACAACGCCGGATATACGGCGGGCAGCCGGCTGGCGCCACAAATTTACTACTTGATTGTCCCGTCGAACAATTGTTTCGCCGGTGGTAAATGCGAGAGAAGAGACCGCGGGTGTCCATCTCCTTCTCTCTTTCTCTTCTTCTGCCTCTGTCTTCTTCACGTCAGGCGGACGAGACGGCGCGCG